TGCAATCTATACCTTAACCCTCAGGCTGTAATAAGTGCTGCTTGAATTTCTACAGCACCGAACTGTTTGTTTGAGATGATATTGAAGTCGATAAAGTGAGAGTTCGTTGCATTCCTTACCCTGAGACTTCCCTCTGTGAATCTATCGCCAACTGTCTTCTTTGATCCATCTGAAATGTAGAGGAATAATGAGTGAGCAGCTGTCACAGTCAGCATAAACTGTACAACATTGGGTTCTCACTGATATTATCCAACATAAGCACAGCACCAAGCAAATCGCATTAAGAGAGAATGCGTGTTATCGTGCTTTAGTGCTAAAATAATAAGGAAGATCACTGAAGAGCTTGGTTGGAGCGGTTACAGTATCTGTTCACTGCTAGTGGGCAATTTTAATGCAATGTGGTTCTGCTAATACACATGATAGTATGTTTATATAGCAGCAAGCTTGGCTCCATATGTGAAAATCAACAGAAGAATGGAGAAAAGAAAAAGCTCTTGGTTGTAAAGCAAAAACTGGACCCCTGCCTGTAAAGTGTAAATCCATAATATGCTGAGACATTCACTTTATAATGTTAATGTTATAGTTGGCTGTTTGGAATGTTGTCATTATACAAAAAGCACGGCAATCTATACATATATACATACATTTATTATATGTTTTAAATAATACAGTCAGCTTATATTTATTCTGGGGTGTTGAGAGAACAAAACCAGCTATTTCCGAAGAACTTAAAATGATTAAAACACATTTCCCTCATTGTAAAACCCATCAGACAGAGCGATTTTATTATGCTTGCTAGTTGAAATGCCAACATTTTAAATCGTATTCCAGTTCAACTATTCAAACTTGTTTTGCAAGCGTTCTCTCAGTGGACATTACATCACCTGTACTGCAAGGTAATGTACGTTTGTAGAACTGACATAAGTCAGCGGCACCAAAGGATCATGGGGGCTTGCATTGGCCAGTGTGCTGACAGAAAGACAGGGCATATTTGGTGAGTAAAGGAGACTTATGATAACAAAATTTGGACTATCAGGCAACTTATTCATAATTGTAATAGATGGACAAAGCATTATTGTTATTGGAAACGAAGGTACATGGTGAGGTGGAATGAATACACATGCTTATAAATCTAAAACATGCTTTTCTTTAGCTAGCAGCCATCATCATGCCCTGACAGTTTAACAATGGGTGGGAGGCTGGGGAGGGGAACGGGAACGGGAACGAGAATGTTAATCAATCTGTGATGTGTTTCACAATCTTTGATGTTTTTGTAGTTCGCTAGCTTTCAAATGACCAAATGCACAGAATGTAGATTACAGATGGATAGATCAATCACGCTGCGCATGTGAACACATTTGTCAAGTATGAAATCAGAAAAGAAATCATGGAAACGCTGAGCAGTCTCGTTTGAACCGGTGCTCTGGTTTAACACTGAAACACATAATTACATGCCGCTCATACGAGGTTTTGTTGTTGTATCCATTGACTACATAATAGGTCTTGCTCATTCACCTTTGCCACCAGACTCTAAACAAACCACAAAGCTGCAAGTTCCCTAGGAAACTCCAAAGATGGTCAAACCTTCACCGAAGAGACATCTACACTTTTGAACTGGAGTTTAAAACGCTGTGTTAAAGCAGAAGAATCACTTTGGACCGAAACTTTACAGGCAGGTAAGAGAGCAACCTTCTCGAACAAACAGATTGAAGCTTGTGAGGAAGTCTTGTTTCCCTGTTCCACAAAGGAACCGGAGGGGCTTTCATTAACAATCCCTTTTCAGGGTTGGGCCACATGAAAGAGAACGTATGTATCTCTTTGGTTGGTGGATCATTTAAGGATTTACAGATGTTGTTTATTTGTGGGAGCATGGTGTAATGAGGGCCTTTCTCCATGTATTTTTGCCTATTCACAGACTAGAAACGTTCTAGCTTCTGCTCGCTTGTCAGGAGATGATTTCAGATAAATCCTTTTGATTAAGAAGCACACTTAATTGTACTGAATGTCCACTTGTAGTGTCAAATCTAAAAAGAGTATTTTTAAACAAAAAAATATTACTGAAATAAAAGACCACTTAAGTGTACTTAAAGACAGTACACTTGCAAGTTCATTTTAAACCATTGTTTCAATAATCTTGTTGTGCTTTAAAGAAGTACACTTATTTTGATGTGCTGGCTAACATACTTAAGCATGTAAAGTACTTGATTATCATTTGAACTGTAGTGTTAAGCAATATTACATTAAAATTAAATTTATTAAATTTATTTATTAAATAATTACAATTCATATATTTTAAATGTACCAAATCGCAACTTCATCAATACAAATGTGCTAATTTATTTTAATACATGACATACAATTTTCAATAGAAATAAAAGTATATTTTAGTTTAACATAAATGCTTGTCAGTCCACAGTACAACCACACAGTTTTTCAATGACAATAGAAGTAATTATTTAATTACATATAAAGATGTATTTAAGTCCTACTTATGTGGGTCAAAAACACTCTGAAGTTCAACTAATTGCATTTCATATGCATTTAAACTATAATACATTTTCATTGCATTGCGAATAACAGTGTCCGAAAACATTACATTCAATTCACACTTGAAGTAAGTACATTATTTTAACACATTTTTTTACATCGTTAAATGTATGCTTTTTCACAAGAAAATCCTCTGAATTATCTGGTATCAATGCAAGATAAACATTTCGACCGTATGTGATAAGCATGTGTATGCATGCAAAACATAAAAAGCAGCTCAGCATCTGTTGCTTTGGATACAGTTGTTATATCCACATCATTTTATCCTGTTCAACATACAATGAATAAAAATATAGTTTATTGCCTAAAGCTCGTCTGAACGTCTTGCTGCAACACTGGAGAAAACACAAAGCGAAAAATAAAACCTTCACAACTTATAAGCTAATTATAGACTAATGATGATGCCCTTATTTGGTGTTACTGTTGACCTCACATTCCATATGCCAGAAGCCTTTTCGTCATGGGATTATAGATTAACTGACTGTCCAAAATCATAAAACATCAAAATGCTGAGCGAGAGGGTTG